CCCCTTAATATAGCAATTCCACTTCTATATTTTTTTTTTTTTTAAGACAGAGTCTTGCTCTGTCACCCAGGATGGAGTGCAATGGCGCAATCTTGGCTCACTGCAACCTCCACCTCCCAGATTCAAGCAATTCTCCTGCCTCGGCCTCCCGAGTAGCTGGGATTACAGGCGCTCACCACCACCCCTGGCTAATTTTTGTATTTTTAATAGAGACAGGGTTTCACCATGTTGGCCAGGATGGTCTCCCTCCCCTGACCTCACGATCTGCCCGCCAAGGACTCTCAAAGTGCTGGGATTCCAGGCATGAGCCACTGCACCTGGCTAGAACTGATCTTAAAGAAAAAGACTAGTGTTGCTTTCCTTAGGGAAAACGAACACATAAAGGTATACTGTATATGTGCAAATATTCATCATTACAAAGTACTATTTTAATGTTTATTATAACTATTGCTTTTTATATATAATATTACTGGTGTATCATAATGTACTTGGGCCAGGCGCAGTGGCCCACACCTGTAATCCCAGTACTTTGGGAGGCCGAGGCAGGCAGATCACCTGAGATCAGTAGTTCAAGACCGGCCTGGCCAACATAGTGAAACCCCAGTGAGCTGAGATCATGCCACTGAACTCTACCCTGGGCAACAAAGCAAGACTCCCACTCCAAAAAACAAAAAAAAAAGAACTGGAAAAAAAAATTAGCTGGGCGTGGTGATGCATGCCAGTGATCCCAGCTACTCAGGAGGCTGATGCAGGAGAATCGCTTGAACTCAGGAGGTGGGGGTTGTGGTGAGCCGAGATCGCGCCATTGCACTCCAGCCTAGGCAACAGGAGCGAAACTTCGTCTCAAAAAAAAAAAAAAAAAAAAAAAACCAGGAGAATAAAATTTGGTTTTTAGTTAATAACAATGTCAATATTGGTATCAATTTTAACGAATGGCCATCCTAATATAAGATTTTAATAATAGGGTAAACTGCGTGTGGGGTTTATGGACACTCTACTATCTTTACAATTTTTCTGTAAATTTAAAACTGTTTCAAAAAATAGTTTATTTCTTAAAATAGAAAAAATGCAGATGATTTCATACCCATTTTAATTTAAGCGGAAAAGTTACAAATCCTCCTATATCATATGATAGTATTTCCATTTAACAAAATTAAAGGTTATGAGGATAAATATCAAAATGTTAAAAGTTAGAAGCTATTAGCAACGAAACAGCAGCACTTTCCAGTTCTACATTCTTTTTTTTTTCTTTTTGAGGCAGAGTTTCGCTCTTGTTGCCCAGGCTGGAGTGCAGTGATGTAATCTCAGCTCACTGCAACCTCTGCCTCCTGGGTTCAAGCGATTCTTCTGCTTCAGCCTCCAGAGCAGCGGGGATTACAGGCACACACCACCATGTCTGGTTAATTTATTTTTATATTTTTAGTAGAGGCAGGGTTTCACCATGTTGGCCAGGCTGGTCTCAAACTTATAACTTCAGGTGATTCGCCCGCCTCAGCCTCCCAAAGTGTTGGGATTACAGGAGTGAGCCACCGTGCCTGGACTGCATTCTTTTTGTTTTATTTTATGTATGTATTTATTTTTTAGCTAGCTAGCTAGCAAGGACAGGGAGAGTTGTCTTACTTTGTTGCCCAGGATGGTCTTGAACTCCTGGTCTCAAGCGATCCTCCTGCCTTGGTCTCCCAAAGTGCTGGGATTTCAGGTGTAAGCCACTGCACCTGGCCCTCTTTTTTTAAATTAACAGATAAAAGTGTATGTATTTAACGTGTATAACACGATGTTTGAAGTATATATACATTTTGGGATGACTAACTCTAGCTAATTAACATATGCATTACCTCACATAACTATCATTTTTGTGACTGCTTTATTCTTTTTTGCATAGTTTGAGTTTATATATTTTTAGCAATGAGTGTGTTGCTTCCTCACCTGAAATAAAATAAAATATTACCATTTTTTAAATTTGCTGAAAAGGTCTGGAGGAAGGAAGGGGCTGGGAGGAGGGACTCCTACCCAAGGAGGGAACCCATATAATAGAAGCCCCTAGCAGGGGGCGGTGGCTCACGCCCATAATCCCAGCACTTTGGGAGGCCAAGGCGGGCAGACCACCTGAGGTTGGGAGTTTGAGACCAGCCTGACCAACATGGAGAAACCCCGTCTCTAATAAAAATACAAAATTAGCTGAGCATGGTGGCACATGCCTGTAGTCCCAGCTACTTGGGAGGCTGAGGCAGGAGAATCGCTTGAACCCAGAAGGCGGAGGTTTCGGTGAGCTGAGATCTTGCCATTGCACTCCAGCCTGGGCAACAAGAGCAGAACTCCATTTCAAAAAACAACAAAAAAACAGAAGCCCCTGCAAAACTCCTCCAAGAGCATCCTGTCTTTTTGGCTGTGTGTGGGGGATCCAGGAGGAACCGAGGCTCCTGCTCAACTTTTTGCCCACTCCACATGCTCTATCATCTCCCTCCATGTCCTCCTTGCTCAATCTTAGGGTGACCAAATTTAGCCAATAAAAGTGTAAGATGCAGGCCAGGTGTGGTGGCTCATGCCTGGAATCCCAGCGCTGTGGGAGGCAGGAGGATCACCTGAGCCCAGGAGTTCTAGACCAGCCAGGGAAATATAGCCACACCCCCCAACCCTCTCCACCCCCCACCTCTCACTTCACCCCCCACCTCTCACTCCCTCTCCAACCTCTGTCTCTACAAAAAAAATTTTAGAAAATTAGCTGGGCATGGTGGCAGTCACCTGTGGTCCCAGCTACTTGGGAGGCTGAGGCAGGAGGATTGCTTGAGCCCTGGACGTTGAAGCTGCAGTGATCTATAATTGCACCACTGCACTCCAGCCTGGGCAGCAGAGCAAGATCCTGTCTCAGAAAATAAAAAATAAAAATAGGCCGGGCATGGTGAGTCACACCTGTAATCCCAGCACTTAGGGAGGCCAAGGCGGGTGGATCACCTGAGGTCAGGAGTTTGAGACCAGCCTGACCAACATGGTCAAGCTCTGTTTCTACTAAAAATACAAAAAAAATTAGCTAGGTGTGGTAGTGTGCACCTGTAGTCACAGCTACTCGGGAGGCTGAGGCAGGAGAATCACTTGAACCCAGGAGGTGGAGGTTGTAGTGAGCCGAGATCACACCACTGCACTCCAGCCTGGCGACAGAGCAAGATTCCATCTTAAAAAAAAAAGAAAAAAAAAAGACTTTGCTCAGCTTCGCCTCTCAGCAGCTTCAGGGTCTCTGGCTCTGCAACCCGCAACTTCCCCTGCAGGTCACATGGGGCAGGTGTTGCCATCAGTCCTGCCTGCCAGTCTCCTGCACACCCAGCCATGGGGAGCTCCCAAGGGCTGAGCCTTTATTAGTCACATAAGTCACTGTCATTCCTACTGATTGTTGTGCATTCTTCAGTACCAGGCCCTGTGCTAAGCATTTTACCTTTATTTCTCACTCCTTCCTTCTTCTATGCAAACCACGTTTATTGAGCACCTACTATATACCAGTGATCAGGGTAACAGCCGGGGAACAGAACTGGCAAAAAACAACAACAAAAACCTCTGCGGTCCAGGGAACTCACGCTCTGTTGGGGAAGACAAGGAACAAATAATTAAGCATGTATCTATATAGTGGGTCACAAGATCTAAATTTTTTTTTTTTTTGAGATGGAGTCTCACTCTGTCACACAGGCTGGAGTGCCATGGTGCGATATCAACTCACTGCAACCTCCCGGGTTCAAGCAATTCTCCTGCCTCAGCCTCCCGAGTACCTGGGATTATAGGCATGTGCCACCACACCCAGCTAATTTTTGTGTTTTTACTAGAGACAGGTTTTCACCCTGTTGGCCAGGCTGGTCTTGAACTCCTGACCTGAGGTGACCTGCCTGCCTCAGCCTCCCAAAGTGCTGGGATTACTGGTGTGAGCCACTGTGCCTGGTCTTAAGTGTCTTGCAGGAATATAAAGCAGGGAAGGGGGATGGGAGGTGTGTGGGAGGGTAAAACTATTTTATTATTAATATTAATTTTTTTAAGAATTTAATTATTACTATTTTTTTTTAGACAGGCTCTCTGTCATCCAGGCTGGAGTCCAATGGGGTGACCTTGGTTCACTGCAACCTTGACTTCCCGGACTCCAGCGATTTTCCCACCTCAGCCTCCTGAGTAGCTGGATCGTAGGTGTACACCACCATGCCCAGCTAATTGTATTTTTGCTAGAGACGGCGGGCTTTTGCCATGTTGGCCAGGCTGGTCTCACAATCCTGAGTTCAGGTGATCCTTTCACCCTGGCTTCCCAAAGTGCTGAAGTTACAGGTGTGAGCCACCGCACCTGGCCTTAAGTTTTAATTTTTGTTGGGTCCGTAGTAAGTGTATGTATTTATGGGGTACATGAGGTGTTTTGACACAGGCGTGCAACGTGAAATAATCGCCTCATGGAGAATGGGGTATCCATCCTCTCAAGCTTTCATCCTTTGAGTTACAATCCAATTACACTCTTTATTTCAAATGTGCAATTATTATTAAGCATAGTCATTTTATTGTGCGATCGAATAGTAGCTCTTACTCATTCTAATTTTTTTAACCTATTAACAAAACCAAGGCTGGGTGCGGTGGCTCATGCTGTAATCCCAGCACTTTGGGAGGCGGAGGCAGGTGGATCACCTGAGGTCAGGAGTTCGAGACCAGCCCAGCACCAACATGGCAGAACCCTGTCTCTGCTAAAAATACAAAAATGAGTCAGATGTGGTGGCAGATGCCTCTAATCCCAGATACTCAGGAGGCTGAGGCAGGAGAATCGCTTGAACAGGGGAGGCAGAGGTTGCAGTGAGCCAATATCTTGCTATTGCATTTCAGCCTAGGAGACAAAGTAAGACTCGTCTCAAAAAACAACAAACCCAGAACATAAAATGCCCACCCCCGGAGCCTCCACCACCCTTCCCAACTTCTGGTCACTTCCCACCCTCTGTGTCCGTGAGATCAACTGTTTTGATTTTTAGCTTTCACAAACGAGCAAGAACATGTGAGGTTTGTCTTCCTGTGCCTGGCTTATTTCCCTGAAACTGATGACCTCCAGTTGGGTGGAGCTGTTTTAAATAAGAGGGTCAGAGAGGATGGCACTGAGGGTGGCACCTGACGGGGGGAGAACGGGAGCCATGCAGATCCCTGGGGGAACAGCGTCCCTGGCAGAGGGAACTCCCAGTGCAAAAGTGGGTGGGGAGCCCAATGCAGAGGCCAGTGTGGCCGCAGCAGAGTGGGAGAGGGGGTGAGGACAGAGGGGTGATGGGGGTAGATCATCTGGGGCCTTGTGGGCCTGAGACAGAGCCACGGAGAACTGCAAGCAGGGGTGGGTGTGATCTGATGCAGGATCACTTGAGGTCAGGCGTTTGAGACCAGCCTGGCCAACATGGTAAAACCCTGTCTCTACTTTGGTTGTGTGTGGGGAATGGACCCCAGGGATCAGGAGGGAGCAGGGAGTCCAAGGAGTCTGCAGGAAATGAGTGCAGACAGGACGAGGGTGGGGCTTTTTGGGGTGGCAAAAGTATAGAGAGTCTAGATTGAGCCAGCCACTGTGGCTCATGCCTTTAATCCCAGCACTTTGAGAGACCAAGGCAGGTGGATCACCTGAAGTCAGAAGTTCAAGACCACCCTGGCCAATATGGTGAAACGCTGTTTTTACTAAAAATACAAAAATTAGCCAGGCGTGGTGGTGTGCGCCTGTAATCCCAGCTACTTGGGAGGCTGCGGCAGGAGAATCACTTGAATCCAGAGGTTGCAGTGAGCTGAGATCACTCCACCGTACTCCAACCTGGGCAACAGGGTCAAAACTCCTCAAAAAAAAAAAAAAAAAAAAAAGTCTAGATCAATTTCAAAGGCAAACAGGATTTCTAGTTACTTAGATGTGGAGAATGAGAAAAGAGGAGTCAAGATCCATCCAAAAGCTTTCAATCTCATTTAATCCCAAGGCAGCCTCACAGAGTATTACCATTCTTGGATTACAGATGAAGAAACAGAGGTTCAGAGAGGGTTGCTGACTTGCCCATGGTCACACAGGAAAGGTGCAGCTGGAATTTGAACCAGTTTCTGTTTGACCCCAGTGTCCAACCTCTGCCCTCTGTGGAGGTTGCCAGCTCCCAGCACGTCCACAGCCTCACCCAGCTGGGGATAGAGCATGCCAGGCCTGCACAGGGCATCAGCTCAGTTGGTGGCCACGGCACTCCATGACTGTCCAGCCTGTGACCTCCTGGTCGTGGCCTGGCCCGCCATGGCCTTCTCTCAGTGCTCATCACCTGTGTTGCATAACCATGTTTCCCTGCCTGCCTGCGAGCTCCCAGAGGGCATGGCTGTAGCTGATTCATTGCTGCTCCCAGCATTGCCCAGCTGGAGCCTGGCATGTGGTGGCCTTTATTAAGGCAATAGATATTTATTACACATCTGTCTTGTGCTGGGCAATGCCGCGACGCAGCTCTGGGCCCTGTCCTTCTGGGGTCAGAGTCCAGTGGGAGAGTCAGAGAGACCCATCTCCAGACAGTGATGGCCTGGAGTAGGAAGGACTGGAATGGGGGGAGCCCAGAGTCCCCACTCCAGCCTGAGAAGGGGCCTGGGAGGATTTGGCAGAGGTGTTGAATTCACGGTCACCACCCTCACAAACTTAGCCTTGAGGGTGTAGACAGACAATGAGCAAGTTTGTTTTTTCTTTTTTTGAGACAGAGTCTTGCTCTGTCACCCAGGCTGGAGTGCAGTGGCGCGATCATGGCTCACTGCAGCCCCAACTTCCTGGGCTCAAACCATCCTCCTGCCTCAGCCTCCTGAGCAGCTGGGAATACAGGCACACACCACTATGCCCAGCTAATTTTTTTTTTGAGACAGAGTCTTGCTGTGTCACCAGACTGCAGTGCAGGGGCATGATCTCAGCTCACTGCAACCTCCATCTCCCAGATTCAGGCGATTCCCCTGCCTCAGCCTCCTGAGTAGCTGAGACTACAGGCACACGCCACCATGCCTGGCTAATAATTTGGATTTTAGTAGAGACGGGGTTTCACCATGTTGGCCAGGATGGTCTCCATCTCCTGACCTTGTGATCCACTCACCTTGGCCTCCCAAAGTTCTGGGATTATGGGCATGAGCCACCATGCCTGGCCATCCAGCTAATTTTTGTATTTTTGATATAGACGGGGTTTTGCCGTGTTGCCCAGGCTGGTCTCAAACTCTGGCTCAAGTGATACGCCTGCCTCAGCCTCCCAAAGTGCTGGGATTACAGGTGTGTCACTGTACCCCGCCGGGCAGCCACATTTCTGTCTCAGGGCCTTTGCACTGGCTGTTCCTCTGCCTGGAATGCTCTTTCCCCAGATGTTTCCCTCTCAGTGAGATCCCCCTGAAAATTCCAACTGCTCCCTCACGGTCCCTGCGTTTTCTGAGCATGAATCGCTATTTAACCAACTCATTTATCGTGTATTTTTTCCAACTATCTGTTTAGAATGTCAGACCTGTGAGGGCAGAGATCTCTGTCTCATTCACGTCTGTCTCCCCAGCACTGAAAACAGAGCCTGGGACATAGTAGATGCTCAATAAATTATGATTCAATAAATAAGGGAAAGAAAGGAAAGAGGGAAGGAATTGGCAAGTCTGTGGGCTCTTGCAGATTGTCATCTGTCCTAGCTGGGAGGCAGGAGTGTTAGCATGTCTCTTCTTCCCGGATAAGACGGTGGCAGCCTGGGAAACTGAGAGGCACGAAGGGACCCTGGGCCACACTCCTTGAGCCCTGAAGCAGGAGCCAGCTTCAGACCAACTCTCAGTGTGGGGCTCAGAAGAAAAAGCCCCCGACGCCACCTGCTGGTGAGTAGTGTCACGATGGTTGTGCCCACTTTGCTGACGGAAGGCTGGCGATGCCCTTGCAGGGTGGGCAGGAAAGGAGGCAGTCCAGGGGCACCCCCAGCAGACATGCAAAGTCCATGGAGCCACAGTTTAAGGCTCTTGATTCCAGAAGCCCTATGGGCACCTCGCTCCATCAGTGCTATGCAGGAGGGTGGGGCCATGCCAGCAGAGGCCCGCCCTGTGTCACTCTGTGCCCGCTCCCTCCACAGCCAGCCAGGACTCCCACCTCTCTAGGAGGGGACAGCTGCCCCAGCTCCATAGGGCTGCATGCACCCTCTATGGGGCCTCTGGAGGGCAGGGGAGTCAGGACCCATCCAACTCCCCACCCAGGCCTGATCAGTGTCTGGTCACAGCAGCCAAGCTGGCAAAACAGGCTTCTGGAGGAGAGCGGCTCCCATCCCTAGAGGTACGTCCGCCGGCGAAACAGGGGTCTCACCACCCAGACGTCATCTACAATCTTCCCATCCTGTGAGGGACAAAAACAGGGACAGTAGTTAGAGCTGAAAGCCTGAACTCCGGGGCCAGATGGCCTGGGTTCCAATCCCATCTCTGCCCTCTGATGCGCTGTGCAACCCTGAGCAAGGTGCTAGTCCTCTCTGGGCCTCAGTTTTCCTCATCTGAAAAGTGGTGGGAGAGTAAGAGTAGCCACATCACTGGTGTTGTGGGAGTTAAATGAGATAGTATTTGTAAACGGAGCCCAGCATATGGAAAGGGCTGTGTGAGTGTAGGATATTTTTAGGACACAAACTCCGGAGTCAGACAGACCTTGTTTTATATTCCAGCACATTCTCTCTCTGTCTCTCTTTTTTTGTTTTTGAGACAAAGTCTTGCCCTGTCACCCAGACTGGAGTGCAGTGGCTCGATCTCGGCTCACTGTAACCTTCGCCTCCCAGGTTCAAGCCATTCTCCTGCCCCAGCCTCCTGAGTAGCTGGGAATACAGGCCCACACCACCACACCTGGTTAATTTTTGTATTTTTAGTAGAAACGGGGTTTTTCCATGTTAGCCAGGCTGGTCTCAAACTCCTGACCTCAAGTGATCCGCCCGCCTCGGCCTCCCAAAGTGCTGGGATTACAGGCGTGAGCCACCGCGCCTGGCCTTCACATCCACTCTCAAGTGTGTGGCTGGACTCTCTGAGCATAACCCCCATGTTCTATGCAATGCGCAAGGTAATAGATGCCCAGGGTGATGGTGAGAACCGACTGAGATCACACACACAAAGCGTGTGGCCGGTGCCAGTACCACTCAATCAATGGTAGTTATCAGATCCCAGCTCCGCTGTCCTCCAGCTGTGTGACCCTGGGAAAATTACTTCCCCTCTCTGAGTCTCAGTTCCCTCACCTATAAAATGAAAAGGAAATCCACTCCTGTGGGATTATTTTGGTACATAAAGAGCTGTTGGTGCCGGATGCGGTGGCTCACATCTGTAATCCCAGCACTTTGGGAGGCTGAGGCGGCAGATCACCAGAGGTCAGGAGTTCAAGACCAGCCTGGCCAACATGGTGAAATCCCCTCTCTACTAAAAACAGAAAAAATTAGCCAGGTGTGGTGGCACATGCTTGTAGTCCCAGCTACTCCGGAGGCTGAGGCAGGAGAATTGCTTGAACCCGGGAAGTGGAGGTTGCTGTGAGCTGAGATCACGCCACTGTACTCCAACCTGGGTGACAGTGAGACTCCATCTCAAAAATAAATAAATTAATTAAATAAAGTGCTACTAAATACAGAACATCTAGGCAGTGCCTGGTATGCAGTAGGTGCTCAATAAATATTTTTATTATTTTAAAACTACAATGGCAAAAATAAAGAAAGGTGAGCCATTATTATTTGGGTCTACCTAACTGTAAGCCACCCCTTCTGCACACCCCACTTACTGTTTCCCCCGCCTGCATCCCACCCTCACCTGTATCTTCTCCTGCCCCTCAATAGTAAATACCTACAGAATTTACCAAGTTCCACACTGTTCTAAGTATTTTATACGTAATAAGTCATTCAACCCCCATACAGTCCTGTGAGATGGAAACTATGATCATCCCCTCTCACAGATGGGAAAACTGAGGCTCAAAGAAGTTAGATAAGTGGCTCAAGGTCATTCAGCTGTCAAGTAGCAGGAGCAGATTTCTAGCTCGACAGTCCATATTTATTTGTTGTTTTGAGTTAGGGTCTCACTCTGTTGCCCAGGCTGGAGTATAGAGGTGTGATTATAGCTCACAGCAGCCTCTAACTCCGGGACTCAAATGATCCTCCTGCCTTAGCCTCCCAAGTAGCTGGTATTGCAGACATCTGCCACCACACTTGACTTTTTTTTATTTTTTTGAGACAGAGTCTAGCTCTGTCACCCAGGCTGGAGTGCAGTGGTGCCATCTCGGCTCACTGCAACCTCCACCTCCCAGATTTAAGTGATTCTCCCACCTTAGCCTCCTGTGTAGCTGGGATTACAGGCACCTGTCACCATGCCCAGCTAATTTTTGTAATTTTAGTAGAGACTACATTTAGTAGCAATTACAGACGCCTGCCACCTCGTCCAGCTAATTTTTGTAATTTTCACCATGTTGGTCAGGCTGGTCTCTAACTCCTGACCTCAAGTGATCCACCCTCCTCAGCCTCCCAAAGTGCTGGGATTTCAGGTGTGAACCAGTGCACTTGGCCTAATTTTTGTATTTTTTGTAGAAACTAGGTCTCACCATGTTACCCAGGCTGGTCTTGAACTCCTGGACTCAAGCCATCCTTGTGCCACTGCACCCGGCCATGTTTTTAACAACTCATTTGCCTGGCTGGGCCTGGCTATGCAATAGGGTGACTTGGGTCTGGCCCTCACTGACCTGGTCGTCCGACACCTGCTGGACGTGGATGTGGGTCCCGTTGAGGATGTGCAGTCGTGTGTACCCATACTCCTTCACACGCACGGCACTCCAGGGCCTTGGGAAGACAGCAAAGGGCGTCAGCCGCTCCTCACAGCCCTAGGGGGGAGAAGTGGTCAGACCCACGGCAGGTGGAGGACCCACAGGGAAGCAGAAATGACCTGCCAGCCCAAGACCCTGCTGCCCTCAAGGAAGACAGGCAAGATTTGGCCACCAGAGGCCGGGCGTGGTGGCTCACTCCTGTAATCCCAGCACTTTGGGAGGCTGAGGAGGGCAGATCACTTGAGCTCAGGAGTCAGAGACCAGCCTGGCCAACATGGGGAAACCCCTTTTATACTAAAAATACAAAAATTAGCCTGATGTGGTGGCGCACGCCTATAATCTCAGCTACTTGGGAGGCTGAAGCAGGACAATCGCTTGTACCCCGGAGGCAGACTTTGCAGCGAGCCTAGATCATGCCATCACACTACGGCCTGGGAGACAGAGCGAGACCGTCTCAAACAAAAACGAAACCAAAAGACCTGGCCACAGTAATGCTCACAATTGAACACTCTGCCCCAGCCAGGCTTCCCTTGCTCCAGGTCTCTGACTTCTAGAAAAGTACATGGCTGTAGGCCAGGCACAGTGGCTCACGCCAGTAATCCCGGCATTTTGGGAGGCTGAGGTGGGCAGATCACCTGAGGTCAGGAGTTCGAGACCAGCCTGACCAACATGGAGAAACCCCATCTCTACTAAAAATACAAAATTAGCCGTGTGTGGTGGCACATGCCTGTAATCCCAGCTACTCGGGAGGCTGAGGCAGGAGAATCACTTGAACCCGGGAGGCGGAGGTTGCAGCGAGCAGAGATCGTGCCATTGGACTCCAGCCTGAGCAACAAGAGCGAAACTCCGTCTCAAAAGAAGAAAAAAAAAAGAAAAGAAAAAGTACATGGCTGTACAAGGCTGCCCACTACAGCATTACAATGAAAGCTCTGAACCAGAAGCCATCTCTACACTCATCAGGGAGTCAGTTAAATACGTTATAGCATAGCCATCACAAAGCAGGGAAGCAGGGCGATACGAAAAGATGGCCAAGATGTGTGTGAAGGGGAAAAAGCAATTTGAGGAACAGAGAAATCACTGGGTCTGAAGCTGGCTGCATGGTAGACCCTCCAAGAAAGCGTTTTAAAACACCAGTGTCTGGGGAAACAGAATGCCTGTGCTTGCAGCAGAAAAGCCAGGCACGAGAGGCAGAGAGGCTGTTGGAGTGAGGAAAATCACCGCTTTGCACCCAGAGTTGTAATACCAGATTGAAGCAAGGTTCATGAATGGACCATAAAACTAGGAGGGTAAGTTTGAGGCATAATAGGATGTTTGCATAATCTCAAAGTATCTCTCCAGGAGATGCTTGTTAATTACAAAGGAAAAAAGAGAATCGCTTTAGTGGAGAGGACTGGCGGACACCTCCCTAACCAAGTGATCAAAGTGATCATCAGTAATGAGACCCATCCATATCACACTTTCAGCTGAGAAATCAGAGGCTCAAAGAGGTTAAAAAGACATCGTGCGGCTGGTGAGGGATTGATGGCTCACGCCTGCAATCCCAGCCCTTTGGAAAGCTGAGGCGGGCAGATTGCTTGAGTCCAGGAGTTCAAAACCAGCCTGGGCAACATGACGAAACCCCATCTCTACAAAAAAAAAAAAAAAAAAAAAAATTAGCTGGGCATGGTGGCATGCACCTGTAGTCCCAACTACTAGGGAGGCTAAGGCAGGAGAATTGCTTGAACCCAGGAGGCGGAGGTTGTGGTAAGCCGAGATCGTGCCATTGCACTCCAGCCTGGGTAACAAAAGCAAAACTCCGTCTCTAAATAAATAAATAAATAAATAATAAGTGTACTAATAACTTTGTTAAGCCCTATCCTATGTAGCTGTTAGACACGCCATGCTTATAGGCACGTAGTACATTCTGTGTCCTTGTACTTAAGATATCTGTGCTGGAAGTTCTCACAGCATGTCCCAGCTCTCTATTGCTTTTACCTGTTTGGAAAAGTTTTAAGTTGGTAGCCAATCAGGTTTTAGTTTAGATTGTGAGTTCTGGCTCCAGGCAGCAGAGATCAGACACAGCAGTAAGGACGACCCCAAATGCAGAAGGAGTAAATGTGTGTGTATTCCCTTTGTTCTTTGGACTCTCCTGGCATGATGGCTAATGAGAGTACCTTTCCTGCAATCCAGGAAGTAAAAATTGCATTGCTGAAAGATCCTTTGCCTCAGTGCTAATTTTTCTTTGCTGCACCGAGCATCTATTTCCAACACCGGTGGACATGCTGCTGAGAGTTCCTGGCCTTAGGGCTGAGGGTGAAGTGATATCCACTGTGTAAAGCACCCAGCACTCAGGCTGGAGCAAAGCCAGCCCTCCATAGAGAGGAAGAGAGAGAGAAGCCAAAGGCACCCTTCCCCCTGCTCACGGCAGATCCTGTGATGATGTGGACAGGGCCCCGCGGGTTGGTGTAGGGCATCTCTTGGCTACCGTTAAATACCTGTGGAGGGGAACAGTGTTCAGTGGCGGGCAGTCACGCTGGACCATGCTGGGGCGTCAACCACACGGACCCCAGCCGCGTGGGTGCTCAGCCCTTCCCGAGCCTCACCTGGTAGTTGTAAATTGGCCACAGTCGTTCGTACGAGTGCTCATGAGCCCACAGCTGCAAGTCCACCCCTGAGACAGAGCAAGCGAGGATCAGACCTCTGAAGCGGGGACAGGTGGGCGTGGGGCGTGGGTCCCCAGGGTCGCTCACCATGTTTGTAGAAAAGATCCTCCAACCCGTACAGCTTGCCTCGGAGGCCTTTGCGGACCTGGGCAGGGTGAATGAGCAGGTGAGGGTGACGCACACCAACACCCGCCTGGGTCTCAGTGCCTCCCCGATGCCTCCCGGGACCTCCCGGATGCCTCCCAGGGAGGGGCCTCACCTTGCTCTCATGCCGTGTGCAGTCGTCCAGATCTGCGTTGGAGCAGTACATGGGCCGGTGCCCCATGGTGATGATCCAGGGCCGGGCTGCCCGGTTCCTATTGGCTTTCTAGGGAGAAGGGCTCAGAGTGAGGGGCTGGTGGTCAGGGGTGGAGGGGGAGGTGGGACCGGCCGGGGAACGAGAGGGGACCTCCACCCAGGTTACCTGGAGGTCGCTCTCCAGCCAGCGAAACTGCCTCTGTACCAGCTGGCGGCCATAATGGAGAAAGAAATAGACCTCGGTGGAGAAGGAGATGATGTGGGCGGGACCCAGATCCCAGCTGGGGGAGGCAAAGGGCAGGGGTTAGGGCCGGGGCTCCGCTGCATCTCCCATCCTTCAGGGCAGAGGGCCAGTCCCCCGGGACCCCCACATTACCTGTACCACAGGCCCTCATTATCCCCCGGCATGCTGAAGCGAGCCTTGTAGTTAGAGAAGTTGCTAGAATAAGGGAAGTGCAAGGGATGGAGGTGAGGGACTGAACTTCATAGCCCTGCTCCTATACCCCACCTCGTCACTGTCGGGCCCTGAGTCTGGCTTCCAGCTCACCCCCACCTCCTCTTGCTACCACAATTGAGATGTTGCAGCATGAGAGACTCAGGGGAGACGCTAAGAAGAACAGGACCATTTTCATTGATCCAGCCCTCGTCCACCGCCATGGCCCTTGGTCCTCACTAGCGTTCTTCGTGATTCCCAGGGCATGTCATGTACGGCAGGCTGGCAGCCACGGGTTCAATGAGCCGCATGAACCTATCCCCGACACGGGCATTGTCCTGGTCCATGTTGTAGGCAAAATCTCCTGGGGGAGGGGGAACAGAAGGATGATGAGGACTCAGACTGGTTTCCGCTTTCATTGGACTTGAAAGAGCCAGGTATGGTGGCTCACTCCTGTTAATCCCAGCACCTTGGGAGGCCGAGGCAGGAGTATCACTTGAGCCCAGGAATTCGACTCCCAGCCTCCCAAAGGGATTATAGGTGTGAGCCACTGTGCCTGGCCAAGATGTTTTGTTTTTTTTAGACGGAGTCTACCTCTGCCACCCAGGCTGGAGTGCAGTAGTGTCATCTTGACTCACTGTAACCTCCAGGGTTCAAGCGATTCTCCTGCCTCAGCCACCCAAGTAGCTGGGATTACAGACACCGCTTGGCTAATTTTTGTATTTTTAGCCAGGCTGGTCTCAAACTTCTGACCTCAAGTGATCCACCCACCTCGGCCTCCCAAAGTGCTGGAATTACAGGCATGAGCCACCTCACCCAGCCCAAGATGAGTATTATTATTCCCATTTCAGATGGGGAAACTGAGGCCCCAGGTCACACAGCTGGCTAGTGAGGATTTAGAAATAACCTAGGAAGCCTGATTCCAGAGTCTGCACTTTGAAGCATACAGTCCTCCACCCCCATTACCCATCTCATTCCCTCCCCCTCTTAATAACAACAGCAATAATAATGGTAACCAGCACAAGGAGACCGAAGTGCGTCCACACCCTGCGGGGCAACGGGCACTCATGTAGTCATCACAGCAGCCCTGCGAACTTGGAACCAGCTTTTCCTCTGATCAAAATACACAGGGAAAACCCTGCTCCTGGCAGGAGCGCCAGAGTTGAGATTTTAACCTGAGCAGGCTGGTTGACCACAGACACCGCCTCCGCCAGTCCCATCCCCTGTCCCTTCAGAGACACATTGGCCCCAGCCCTGTCCCCTCCATGGTCCTGGCTCCACCCCTAATCCGCGCTCCCCCCACCATCCCTCTGCGCCCCCCACCATCCCTCCATGCACCTCCACTATCCTACCACGAACCCCCCACCATCCCTCTGCAGGCCCCTGCGGATGCAGATGCCTCACCCACGTGGAGAATGGCATCATACATGCCCTGCTGGGTGTCCCTGCGCAGCCGCGGGAAGGCCTTCGGGTTGTCAGCCCCCAGATCCCCAAACACAGCTAGACGGGGGCTCCAGTGGGCCCCATTCTTGAAGGCCCTGAAGCGGAACCGACGGCTCCAGCCCTGGGCACTGCCACAACGATAAACTGAAGGGAGAAGAAAAGGTTGCAGTCAGCTGGCCTCCCAGGACCCTCCCCCCAACCCCCATCCTTCCTCGACTGGTGGAGGGGAGGAGATGGGGGGACTGGTGGGGGCTGGCCCATGCCCCTTCAGTCGGCCTTCCTGGCAGCTTCCATTTTCCTCCTGGGATCTCATGCAATAGGCTTGCAGATAGGCAGAGGAGTTACCAGCCCAGCCTGAGCCCCCAGCCAGCGGTAGCTTCTAGGCCATATCCCACTCCTCTTCCCATCAACAGCTCAGCCTGGGGCCCCTCTCACCGTACTGAACCCCCGGCAGCAGCTTGCGCAGCGTGACTCGGTGTATGTAGAGCTTCCTCCGGAGAATGCCCCCGTCCACAAAGGGGACAAAGGTGCCCTGGGCGCGGAGGGGCAGGGGCCCTGACGGCTGCAACCCGAATTGCACTTCAGAGCGGGTTGGGACCCATGTGGTCCAGGTGACAGTCATGGAGCCTGGCTCACCTGAGGAGAAAGGGACAGAGGGTGGCAGGGGAGTGAGGCCTGGGGAGGGTGGGTGGGAGGGACGTGCAGAAAAAGTGAGGGGCGTTGACAGTAACTGCTGTTGAACAGTTAGTAGTCAAGGACACAGGTTCTGGAACTGCCCAAGTTCAATCCCAGCTCTGCCTTTTTTTTTTTTTTTTAAAGACAAACTTTCGTATTGCCCAGGCTGGAGTGCAGTGGCGTGATCTCGGTTCACTGCAACCTCCACCTCCCAGGTTCAAGCAATTCTCCTGCCTCAGCCTCCCGAGTAGTTGGGATTACAGATGCCGACCACCATGCCTGGGTAATTTTTGTGTTTTTAGTAGAGATGGGGTTTTGCCACGTTGGTCAGGCTGGTCTCGAAGTCCTGACCTCATGATCCAGCCACCTTGGCCTCCTAAAGTGCTGGGATTACAGGTGTGAGCCACTGCACCCAGCCTTTTTTTTTTTTTTTTTGTGACAGGGTCTTACTTTGTCACCCAGGATGGAGTGCAATGGTGCGATCTCAGCTGACTGCAACCTCTGCCTCCCGGGTTCAAGCAATTCCCCTGCCTTAGCCTCCCTAGTAGCTGGGATTACAGGCGCCTGACACCACGCCCAGCTAATTTTTGCATTTTTAGTAGAGACAGAATTTTGTCATGTTGGCCAAGCTGGTCTTGAACTCCTGACCTCAGGTGATCCACACACCTTAGCCTCCCAAAGTGCTGGGATTACAGGTGTGATCCACTGCACCCTGCCCCAGCTCTGCTGAGCTTTCCTGGGGCACATCACTTCACTTCTCTGAGCCTCAGTTTTCCTGTCTGCAAAATGGAAGAATAATAGTCTCTGCCCTACACGGTTGTTATGAGGCTTAGATGAACAAATAGAAGTAAAGCACGTGCAACAGTGCCTAGTACACTTAGGGTTGTGTGGGGGAATGAGTATTATTAATGTCATTATTTACCATGTGCAGGCCTTGTGCCAACTGTGGTACACACGATATCATTTAAGGGTTGCCAGCTTGGGTGTCTGGAGGCCACAGGTGATCTAAAGGGAGACAAGGGCGACCTGTATGACAGCAAGGAGTTGCAGAGCAGGTGGCCAGCTGTAGACCCGCTCTGTCTCAAAGGGGCAGCGATCACGCAGATCTGGCAGTAGCCACCAAGCATGAGCCCAGTACCAGCAAAGCCATTGACTTTTTTTTTTTTTGGAGATAGGGTCTCACTCTGTTGCCCAGGCAGTGGTGCCATCATAGCTTACTGCAGCCTTGACCTCCTGGGCTCAAGCCATCTTACGGCCTCAGCCTCCCAAGTAGCTGGAACGACAGGCACACGCCACCATGCCCAGCTAATTTTTTTTTTTTTTGAGGTGGCGTCTTGCTCTGTTGCCCAAGCTTGAGTGCAGTGGTGCAATCTTGGCTCACTGCCACCTCTGTGAGATGATCTGGCTCTGTGTCCCCACCCAAATCTCATCTTGAATTGTACTCCCATAATTCCCACGTGTTGTGGGAGGGACCAGTGGGAGATCATTTGAACATGGGGGCGGTTTCCCCCAGACTGTTCTCATGGTAGTGACTAAGTCTCGTGAGATCTGGTGGGTTTATCAGGGGTTTTCACGTTTGTTTCTTCCTCATTTTCTCTTGCCGCCAACACGTAAGAAATGCCTTTCACTTCACCGGCTGGGCACGGCGGCTCACGCCTGTAATCCCAGCACTTTGGGAGGCCAAGGCAGGTGGATCACCTCAGGTCAGGAGTTCGAGACCAGCCCGGCCAACATGGTGAAACCCTGTCTCTACTAAGAATACAAAAATTAGCCAAGCATGGTGGCGGGTGCCTGTAATTCCAGCCACTCAGGAGGCTGAGGCAGGAGAATTGCTTGAACCTGGGAGGCAGAGGTTGCAGTGAGCTGAGCCCATGACATTGCACTCCAGCCTGGGTGACAGAGCAAGACTCCATCTCAAAAAAATAAATAAATAAAAATAAAGTACTTAATCTTCCTAAGTCTCAGTTTCCTCATCTGTAAAATAGGGAGAATAAAAAATTTATTAAAGAAAAAAAAAAAGAAATGCCTTTCACCAGCTGGGCACAGTGGCTCATGCCTGTAACCCCAGCATTTTAGGAGGCCAAGGTGGGTGGATCACAAGGCCAGGAGAGTGAGACCATTTTGGCCAATATGGTGAAACCCCGTCTCTACTAAAAAGACAAAAATTAGCTGGGAGTGGTGGCACATGCGTATAGTCCCAGTTACTTGGGAGTCTGAGGCAGGAGAATTACTTGAACCTGGGAGGCAGAGGTTGTAGTGAGCCAGGGCTGTGCCACTGCACTCCAGCCTGGCAACAGAGCAAATTCTGTCACAAAAAAAAAAAAAAAAAAGAGAGAAAGAAAGAAAGAAAAAGAAACGCCTTTCCCCTCCCGCCATGATTCTGAGGCCTCCCCAGCCATGTGGAACTGCAAGTCTAATTAAACCTCTTTTGCTTCCCAGTCTCGTGTAGGTCTTTGTCAGCGGCGTGAAAACGGTCTAATGCAGTAAATTGGTAGCAGTAGAGTGGGGTGTGGCTGAAAAGATACCCGAAAATGTGGAAGCGACTTTGGAACTGGGTAACAGGCAGAGGTTGGAACAGTTTGGAGGGCTCAGGAGAAGAAAGGCAAATGTGGGAAAATGTGGAACTTCCTAGAGACTTGTTGAACAGCTTTGACAGAAATACTGATAATGATGTGGACAGTGAAGTCCAGGTGGAGGTGGTCTCTGGCAGAGACGAGGAACTTGTTGGGAACCGGAGCAAAGGTCACTCTCATTATAGTTTAGCAAAGAGACTGGCAGCATTTTGCCCCTGCCCTAGAGATCTGTGGAACTTTGAACTTGAGAGAGATGATTTAGGGTCTCTGGCAGAAGAAATTTCTAAGCAGCAAAGCATTCAAGATGTGCTGTTAAAGACGTTTTTGGTTTTTTGTTTTTTTTGAGACAGTCTCACTCTTGCCCAGGCTGGAATGCAGTGGTGCAGTCTTGGCTCACTGCAGCCTCCGCCTCCCAGGTTCAAGCGATTCTCCTGTCTCAGCCTTTTGTGTAGCTGGGATAGAGGCATGTGTTACCACGCCTGGCAAATCTTTGTATTTTTAGTAGAGACAGGGTTTCTCCATGTTGGTCAGGCTGGTCTTGAACTCCTGACCTCAGGTGATCCGCCCACCTCAGCCTCCCAAAGTGCTGGGATTACAGGCATAAGCCACCATGCCTGGCCTGAAGGCATTCAGTTTTAAAAGGGAAGCAGCACATAGAAGTTCAGGAAATTTGCAGCCTGACAATGGGATAGAAAATAAAATCCCATTTTCTGAGAAGAAATTCAAGCTGGCTGCAGATATTTGCATAAGTAACGAGAAGCTGAATTTTTTTTTTTCTTGAGACAGAGTTTCACTCTTGTTACCCAGACTTGAGTGCAATGGCTCAATCCCAGCTCACCACAACCTACACCTCCTGGGTTCAAGCAATTCTCCTGCCTCAGCCTCCCGTGTGGCTGGGACTACAGGCTGCACCACCATGCCCAGCTAATTTTTTTTGTATTTTTAGTAGAGACGGGGTTTCACCATGTTGACCAGGATGGTCTTGATCTCTTGACTTCGTGATTCACCCGCCTCAACCTCCCAAAGTGCTGGGATTATAGGCGTGAACCACCGTGCCGGCCCATGAGAAGCTGAATGTTAATCCCAAGACAATAGGGAAAATATCTCCAGATGTCAGAGACCTTTGCAGCTGCCCCTCCCATCACCGACCTGGAGGTCTAGGAGGAAAAAATGGTTTTGTGGGTAGGGCTCAGGGTCCCTGTGCTGTGTGCAGTCTAGGGACTTGGTGCCCTGCATCCTAGCTGCTCCAGCCATGGCTGAAAGGGGCCGATATAGATCTCAGGCCATGGCTTCAGAGGGTGCAAGTCCCAAGCCTTGGCAGCTCCCATGTGGTTTTGAGCCTGTAGGTGTAGGGAAGTCAGGAATTGGGGTTTGGGAACCTCTGCCTAGTTTTCAGAAGATGTATGGAAACTCCTGGATTCCCAGGCAGAAGTTTGCTGCAGGGGCAGGGCCCTCATGGAGACCCTCTGCTAGGGCAGTGCAGAAGGGAAATGTGTGGTTGGAGCCCCCACACAGTGTCCCTACTGGGACACCACCTAGTGGAGCTGTGACAAGAGGGCCACCATCCTTCAGACCCAGAATGGTAGATCCACTGACACATTGCACTGTGCCCCTGGAAAAGCTGCAGACACTCACTGCCGGCCTGTGGAAGCAGCCAGGAGGGAGGCTATACCCTGCAGTCACAGGGGCGGTGCTGCCCAAGACCATGGGAACCCACCTCTTGCATCAGCTTGACCTGGATGTGAGACCTGAGGTCAAAGGAAATCATTTTGGAGCTTTAAAATTTGACTGCCCTGCTGGATGTTGGACTTGCATGGGTCCTATAACCCCTTTGTTCTGGTCAATTTCTCCCATTTGGAATAGTATTTACCCAATAACTGTACCCCCATAATATCTAGGAAGTAAGTAACCTGCTTTTGAGTTTACAGGCTCATAGGTGGAAGGGACTTGCCTTCAGATGAGACTTTGGACTGTGTACTTTTGGGTTAATGCTGAAATGAGTTAAGACTTTGGGGGACTGTTGAGAAGGCATGATTGGTTTTGAAATGTGAGGACATGAGATTTGGAGGAGCCAGGGGCGGAATGATATGGTTTGACTCTGTGTTCTCACCCAAATCTCATCTTGAATTATATTTCCGTAATTCCCATGTGTTGTGGGAGGGACCTGGAAGGAGATCATTTGAATCATGGGGGCGGTTTCCCTCATGCTGTTCTGGTGGTAGTGAATAAGTCTCACGAGATCTGATGGTTTTATGAGGAGTTTCCGCTTCTGCTGCTTCCTCATTTTCTCTCGCCTCCACCACGTAAGAAGTGCCTTTCACCTCCTGCCATGATTCTGAGGCCTCCCCAGCCATGTGGAACTGTAAGTCCAACTAAATCTCTTTTTCTTCCCAGTCTCAGGTATGTCTTTATCAACAGCATGAAAACAAATTAATACACCCGCCTCCTGGGTTCAAGTGATCCTCCCACCTTAGCCTCCTGAGTAGCTGGGACCACAGGCATGCACCAGTATGCCCAGCTCATTTTTAATTTTTTTTTTCTTAGAGATGGGATCTTGCTGTGTTGCCCAGGCCGGTCTTGAACTCCTGGACTTGAGTGATCTGCCCTCCTCGGCCTCCCAAAGTGCTGGGATTACAGGCATGAGCATGTCCCGACTTTTCTATTGACTTCTAGAACACATCTTTACACAGCGGTTTTAATATCTCAGGAGCATGTATAGCTAGATAGGAAAATCCATATTTTAAAGTGATAGTTTCGAATTCTTAAATGTTGGCACCCAAGTCAAGGTTTTAAAAATGCCGTGTGGTGTAGTGTAATGTTAAGAGTTCTTCCCCCAGCCATACAAAAGTGCATGTGCCCAGGGTTATTTATTGCAGTATGCTCTGTAATTGCAAAATATGGGAAACAACCTGAATGCCCATATTTAGGAGAGTGACTGAATAACATCCACACAATGGTGTAAAAAAGAATGAGGACAAGCTCCAAGAACTGCTATGAAATGCTTCCAGGACATATTGTTAAACCAAAAATAGCAAAGTGCAGAAGAGTGTAGTTACTGCCCTTAATGTAAGGGGATATAAGAAAACACACAGGTGTCTCTGCTCATTTGTACAAAAGAAATACAGATAGCATACACCAGCTACTAAAGAGATGAATTCCTGGCCAGGTACAGTGGCTCACACTTGTAATCCCAGCACTTTGGGTGGTCAAGGCGGGTGAGTGAAACCCCAACTCTAAAAAAAGTACACAAATTAGCTGGGCTTGATGGCGGGCACCTGTAATCCCAGCTACTTGGGCTGAGGCAGGAAAATTGTTTGAACCTGGGTGGTGGAGGTTGCAGTGAGCCAAGATTGTGCCACTGCACTCCAGCCTGGGCCACAGAATAAGAACTCCATCTCTAAATAAATAAATAAGAGATGAATTACTTACAGGAGATGGATGGAAAATGAGGTAGAAAAAACGAGGAGGCCAGACGTGGTGGCTCACGCCTATATTCCCAGCACTTTGGGAGGCTGAGGTGGGTAGATTGCTTTGAGGCCAGGAGTTACAGACAAGCCTGGCCAACATGGTGAAACCTCTTCTCTACTAAAAATGCAAAAATTCGCTGGGTGAGGAGTTCAAGACCAGCTTGGTCAACATAGCAAAACCCCGTCTCTACTAAAAATACAAAAATTAGCCGGGCGTGGTGGCTCCAGCTACTCAGCAGGCTGAGGCAAAATAATCACTTGAAACTGGGAGGCAGAGGTTGCAGTGAGCAGAGATTGTGCCACTGCACTCCAGCCTGGGTGACAGAGCAAGAATCCTTCTCCAAAAAAAGGCAGGAAGGAAGAAAGAAAGAAGGAAGGAAGGAAGGAAAGAAAGGAGGGAGGGAGGGAAGGAAGGGAGGGAGGGAGAGAAGGAAGGAAGGAAGGAAGGAAGGAAGGGAGGGAGGGAGGGAAGGAAGGAAGGAAGGACGGACGGATGGAAGGAAGGAAGGATGGAAGGAAGGATGGAAGGAAGGACGGAAGGAGGGAAGGAAGGAAGGAAACGGGAATGGGAACAGAGTAGTAGGGATGAGGAAACAGACCCTTCCCTGAGTCAGGCATTTGTGTAATTTTGACTCCTGGAACTATAGTCATGTTTCACATTTCCCTCACACACCCACAAAATAAACAAAACTATCAGGGTGTGGAGGGAACCCAATATGGAATGGAAACACTAATAAGTGGACCTAACCAGATTTAAAAAATGAATAACATAACCACACGGAAGCGGGTGAGGAAGAAAAATAACTGCAAGAAACAGTGTCCTAACTGGGTATTATTACAAGGCAAAAGACAAAAAGGCCTGTACGTAAAGCCTGTCACCTTGGCAGTGGGTGCTTCTCACAGCCACACTTGTGAATGATTCTGAGATACAGAGTTTCACTCTTGTTGCCAAAGCTGGAGTGTAATAGCATGATTTCAGCTCACTGCAACCTCTGCCTCCTGGGTTCAAGTGACTCTCCTGTCTCAGCCTCCCAAGTAGCTGGGATTACAGGCATCTGTGGCTAAATTTTTGTATTTTTAGTAGAGACAGGGTTTTATCATATTGGCCAAGCTGGTCTCGAACTCCTAACCTCAGGTGACCCACTTGCCCAGCCTCCCAAAGTGCTGGGATTACAGGTGTGAGCCACCACACCTGGCCAGAACTGCTTTATGTGTACACTAGGATTGAACAAATAGTATATTATAAACAATCAGGGTCAAATTTCTGAGTGTTAGAGAAAAAAGTTACAAAAAGGAAAGATGAGGCTAAAATAAACCCACAGTGCTGGGCTGAAATCAGGGATATCAGAATGATCTCATGGTAATTAATTTTTTTTTTTTTTTGAATTGGAGTCTTGCTCTATCACCCAGGCTGGAGGGCAGTGGTGTGATCTCAGGTCACTGCAACCTCTGCCTCTCAGGTTCAAGTGACTCTCCTGCCCCAGCCTCCTGAGTAGCTGGGATTACAGGTACACACCACCACACCTGGCTAATTTTTTTCTATTTTTAGTAGAGATGGGGTTTCACTATGTTGGTCAGGCTGGTCTCGAACTCCTGACCTCAAGTGATCCACCCACCTCGGCTTCCCAAAATGCTGGAATTACAGTGTGAGCCTCTGTGCCCAGCCAGGTAATAAATTTTTATACAGATTCAAACATAAATGGGTGAATATGCAGCTTCATATACACGCATGTATTGCCTCGCTGTGTCTGTTGAGAGGAACTAGAAGCAATGACACCCCAGTGGCAATAAGCACACCTAGCACTCAGATCTCAGCTTCTAAATAACCACTCTCCAATCAAAAGAAACTGGAGGGCTGAGCACAGTGTCTCACACCTGTAATCCCAGCACTTTGGGAGGCCAAGGCAGTGGATCACAACGTCAGGAGTTCGAGACCAGCCTGACCAACATGGTGAAACCCCAACTCTACTAAAAATACAAAAATTAGCCAGGCATGGTGGTGGATGCCTGAAATCCCAGCTACTCAGGAGACTGAGGCAGGAAAATCACTTGAAAACCCAGGAGGCGGAGGTTGCAGCGAGCCAAGATTGCACCATTGCATTCCAGCTTGGGCAACAGGAGTGAAACTCCAGCTCAAAAAAAAAAAAAAAAGGAGGGAATTAGAAAATTAGAAAATCACCATTAAGCAAACACCACACTAATAATTGTTGCCGATAAGATACACTGATGGATGCTAAAATTAGTGGGCAAACATTGAGGAGAAACAGGATTTGCATTGTCTTGAGCCATCTCCCTCAAGATATTCACTAATTACAAAGAATAATTGCTTTATAGTGAAGAAACCCAGCAGGCACCTCCTTGATCAAACAATCAGGGTCAACATCAATAAGTCACAGCAATAAGTCACAGCCACACCTTGATCCTTTGTGTCATGTACCAAGAAGGGCACAACATCGCATGTATGACAGTCTTGCCAAAAACGCATAACTTAATTCCAGTCGGGAGACAATATCAGACAAACCCAGATGAGAGATACTGTACAAAATAGCTGATCAGTACTCAGCAATACCAAGATGGTGAAAGATAAGGGAAGACTGAGAAACTGATGGATGGACGGAGGCTAGGGAAGCAAAACCGCTAAGTGCAATGTGAGATCCTGGATCAGGTTCTGGAAGGGAAAACAGACATTATAGAAAAACGGGTGAAATCCAAATGAGAGCTGTAGTTTAGTTAACAGTATTGTACCGATCTTGATTTCTCGATTTTAATCATTGTACCATGATTAAGTAAAATGTTAACATGAGGGAAACTGAGTGAGGGGAGACAGGAACTCTATAATATTTTGGAATGTTTCTGCTAAATCTAAAAGTAGTACAAAATTTAAAAGTATTTGTTTTTGAGACAGAGTTTCACTCTTATTGCCCAGGCTGGAGTGCAATGGCACAATCTCAGCTCACTGCAACCTCTGCCTCCCAGATTCAAGTGATTCTCCTGCCTCAACCTCCCAAGTAGCTGGGGTTACAGGTGCCCGCCACCATGCCCAGCTAATTTTTATGTTTTTCAGTAAAGATGGGGTTTTGCCACGTTGGCCAGGTTGGTCTTGAACACCTGAACTCAGGTGCCTGTTTTAGGCTGGGCACGGTGGCTCATGCCTGTAATCCCAGCACTTTGGGAGGCCAAGGCAGGTGGATCACCTGAGGTCAGGTGTTCAAGACCAGCCTGGCCAACGTGGTGAAACCTCATCTCTACTTAAAAATACAAAAATAAGGGGCTGAGCACAGTGGCTTATGCCTATAATCCCAGCACTTTGGGAGACCGAGGCTGGTGGATCACTCGAGGTCAGGAGTTCAAGACCAGCCTAGTCAACATGGTCAACCTCTCTACTAAAAATACAAAAATTACCTGGGCATGATGGCATGCACCTGTAGTCCCAGCTACTTGAGAAGCTGAGGCAGGAGAATTACTGGAACCCAGGAGGCAGAGGTTGCAGTGAGCTGAGATCATGCCACTGCACTTCAGCCTGGGCAACAGAGTGAGACTCTGACTCAAAAAAAAAAAAAAAAAGAAAAAATACAAAAATCAGCCAGGCATTGGTGGCAGGTGCCTATAATCCCAGCTACTCAGGAGGCTGAGGCAGGAGAATCCCTTGAACTCGAGAGGCAGAGGTTGCAATGAGCCAAGATCGCACCACTGCACTCCAGCCTGAGTGACAGAGTGAGACTCTGTCTCAAAACAATCAAACAAACAAAGAAAAAACCCCACAAAGATCATGGGCTCCTGAGCCAGCCTGCTGGCATTGATTCCCAGGCTATGTGATCTGGGGTCAGACTCTTCCCCTGCTATGAGCCTCAGTTTACTGTCTTGTCAAATGGGAGTACCAATGGTACCTATGGCTTAAGGTTGACATCAGATTACATGAGTTATCCAAGTTATCCATCTAAAGCACTTATAAGCATATATTTGCCATTGTTCCTGTGTAGGCTGAAAAAGGACAGCCATGAGCTCAATGGATTGTCATATTAGCACTATAAGATGGGTTTTTACTGCCTTTCCCATTTTTACAGATGCCTCCAGGCAAAGTGCTTTGTTCAAGCTGGCTAGGCCGGCAAATGCCAACCCAGTTCATTTGCCACATCGCAGTAACCTATAAGAAAGTGTTTCTGCTGGGCATGGTAACTCATGCCTGTTATCCCAGCACTCGGGATGCTGAGGTGGGAGGATCACTTGAGCCCAGGAGTTTGAGACCAGCCTGGACAACATACTGAGACCTTGTCTCTACAAAAAATAAAAAGAATTAGCTGTGTCTAAATATCCTGCTTATACCACAAAAAAAAAAAAAAAAAAAAAGAGCTAGGCATGGTAGTGCACGTCTGTACTCCCAGTTACTCAGGTGGCTGAGGCAGGAGGATCGCCTATGGCCAGAAGTTAGAGGCTGCGGTAAACTGTGGTTGCACCATTGCATTCCACCGTGGGCAACAGAGTGAGACCCCCGTCTGAAAAAAAAAAAAAGGGGCTTGGTGGCTCACGCCTGTAATACCAGCACTTTAGGAGGCTGAGGCAGGTGGATCACGAGGTCCATCTCTACTCAAAATACAAAATATCAGCCGGGCATGGTAACATGTGCCTATAATCCCGGCTACTTGGGAGGCTGGGGCAGAAGAATCGCTTAAACCAAGGAGGCAGAAGTTGCAGTGAGCCGAGATCACGCCGCTGCACTGCAGCCTGGCAACCGAGCAAGACTGTCTCAAAAAATAAAAAAGAAACTACCTTCTCTGAAGGTGTAAAAGACATGAAAAACAAAGAAAGATAAGGAATGACTAAGCGCTGTGACAGTTCCTCAGTCATTCCTTATCTTTCTTTGTTTTTCATGTCTTTTACACCTTC